CTGAATTACACCTTGGTACTGCTTATCATCCTCAGACTGATGGACAGACTGAGAGGGTTAATCTAATCATGGAAGATATGCTTCGGTCATGTGTTCTTGATTTTAAGGGCCACTGGGAGGACTATTTGCCACTTGTGGAGTTTGCATATAACAATAGTTTCCAGAAGACTATTGGGATGGCACCATTTGAGGTATTGTACGGTCGACCGTGTCGATGGCCTGTTTGTTGGATGGAGACTGGTGAGAGAAGATTCTTTGGTCCTGAGTTCATCAAGGATACTTTTGAGAAGATTGCTCTTATTAGGGATCACATGCGCACTGCGCAGAGTCGGTAGAAGAGTTATGCCGATTGTCGCACACGTGCTTTAGAGTTTCAGGTTGGGGATCAGGTTCTACTCAAGGTGTCGCCTATGAAGGGTGTAACGTGCTTTGGTAAGAAAGGGAAGTTGTCTCCGCAGTTTGCCGGTCCATTTATGATTACGGATCAAAATGGAGCTGTTGCTTATCGGTTGGCACTTTCGAATAATTTGGATCGCATACACAACGTATTCCATGTTTCTATGTTGCGGAAATTTCTGCGAGATAAGGATCGGTATCAACATATCGATGTTGGGGAGATTGAGTTGCAGCCGGATTCAACTTATTTAGAGCCACCATGTCGTATTATCGACCGTCGGGATCAAATCCTTCGTAATAAGGTTATTCCTTTGGTGCGTGTTCAGTGGAGTCATCATAATGAGGCTGAGTCTACTTGGGAACAGGAGGATGTTATTCGCTCGCAGTTTCCTGAAATATTGGAAGAAGGTAAGAGCGAATTTCGAGGACGGAATTCCTTTTATTAGGGGGGAATAATGTAATACCCCTAATTTTAAAAGGATAGTCTCGGTATTTTAATTATTGTTTTCTTATATTTTGTATGCCTATTTGTTTATTTGATTAAGTGTTTAATTGTTTTACTTCTTTAATTGATTTAGTTGTGATTTAGTTATTTAATTATGGAAGTTAAATTTTATTAATTGATGAATTATCTTATTTAAGTGAATTGTTTTAATTTAATGGAATTGTTTATTTAATTGACTTATTTGAATTAACTGTCTTAATTTAATTATTTGTCTATTTTATATACTTAGGTGGATATTTAATTATTGAATTGTTTTACCTATCGTAAGTTAGGATTTTATTTTTATGATTCACATTAGCCGTCGTAGACTTATGTTACTTTATGGGCCGACTGGGACTGGAATTGGGGCTTAATCTCTAAGTATACATGAACTAGGGTTATTGTTATAAGCCTATAAATATACACATTACGGTGGTTTAGGGTTTTAGAAAACATAAGCATAATTCACGTATCAAAGCTACAGAGAGATTCAAAGTGAGGTTTTGAGATAACAGAGCACGTTCGGTGTGGGATTTGACTGAGGCTTCAAGGTCAAACCTAGGAGAAGGGAAGAGCAGAAGTAAGAGGAGGATAGACAATAGTTCAGTGTTGCCGGAACAGTGGACACGACGCCGAGATTTCAAAACTGAAATCACAGGCAAGTTCTTTTCTTCCTCCTTCCCTCTGGCTTGTGTTCTGTGCACCTGGATAGTCTCTAGGCTTAAATTAATCATTAACGGAGTTTTACATGTATATTAGATGCTATATTGATGTTATATGTGTGTTGAAATCTGTTAAATTATAATTCGTGCATGTCTAATTTCAGTTGTATTCTTAAAGCATGCTTAGTCTGTAGAACTTGTAGTTTTTGTATTTAATTTCAAATACTATAAACACACCATGGGGATTATACTAGGCACAAGTAGGACCCTTAGGAACAGTTTAAAACCAAATAGACAAGTTGGGAGCGACCGGAGACGAAATAGAAGGTCGTAGAAGTTGCAGAGGTTGAAGACGGCTCTCAGAGGAGGTGAGAGCCGGCTCCATAGAAGTGGGAGCCGGCTCCCACACATGTAGAGCCAGCTCCAAGGTCCTTGGAGCTGGCACCAGGCTGATTAGAGCCTACTCCCAAAGTTTTGGAGCAGGCTCTCTCTCAAATTTGCTTCCTTATGTTGTTTTTGATGCACTGTTTTGAATTGTGCGAGGATTAAACTGTTCTAATGGTTTTGAGATTTCACAGAGGGACTAGAAAGTTGGTTTTGGGTGTTTTTATGATCTTAAATTAATTTAGGATGACCTCTAGGTGAATAGGATAAAAAGTATTAAATTAGTAAACTTTCTATACTGTTAACGGATGAAAGACGAATTAATTGCTTAACTAAATTTTAGCAATTTAATGGGATTTAGGATGTATATAAAACTTATTTTAAATGAATGATAGGGTCATCTATGTATTTTTTTTGATCTATACATGCTTTGGGATGCTAATTGTCGAAATATTAAACCTTTTTTGCAATTACATGGATTACTGTTGGATTGTAATTGCTAGAATAATGAAACATTTTCTGCAACTATTTGGACAATGGTTTGGACTGTAAATTACTAAATTATGAATTATATATTGTAATTTACATGGATATGGAGGATTATATACACCAGTATGGGACGGTAGCATACTAGGGACAGTTTAGCTTCAAAACGCTAAGACCTAATCTATCGGATTAACGGAATGAATTGTAAACTAATGAATCCTAAATTATGTTTAAGTCAGATCAACTGACTAAGTTGAGTGACTTCCTGGATTAGTTGGTTGTAGTTAAGTCATATCAGCTGAATAAGTTGAGTGACTATTTGGACTGCGTTTTGTATGTATCCTTAATGAATAATTGAATGATATACTCTGGATTCGGACGGACTTTAGATATATGGTTATGGTACCATGAGATGAGCTTGAGTCTCAGGCTCGTTGGTTAGGGTGCGTATATGCAGTGGATGCGTAGCTGGAAATAGTAGGTCAGTGTACCCTGTTAGGTCTAGGTACTCATGCCCACCTTTAGGTGCGTTTTCGCATGTTGCCTTCTATTCAGGTTGAGACCCCTATTATAGTCCAGTGAATGTCCCTTAGTGTGGATATATATATGTATGGATTAGATAGCTATTATGAGGGTATCTAGGGTGTATCTGCGTATCGGGTCACTGTATGGATTGTAGTTAGATTAGAACTTGTTCGTGGGCCTAACCCACTCTTTTAATCTTTTCAGGTACAAGACAGTTCCAGCCTTAGAGCTTGATTGTGCTATTCGAGGACAGTTCCTCATTCATCAGATTTCGTAGGACTTCTCTCGATGTTTCAGTTTTATTTACTTTCAGTTATTTCAATTCAGTTGGGATTTTTTTAGGGGTCCACTAGATGGATTCCCGAGTTATACTCTTGGAGGTTTTGGATGTTTGGATTCACTTTATTCATTACCGTTTGGAGGATTTGATAATGGATCTTTTTGTTAGTTTTATTCTCTTTATTATTTTATTTAAATCTTTGTATTCTGTGTTCGCTTTAAAATACTTTAATTGTCTGATATTTCCCTCGGGTTTGGGCCTGGGCCTGATCAACAGTTGGATGACTACTTCAATGAGTGGCTAAACATCTTCTTGGGGCTAGAGTTAGCCCTAAGCATGCTTTCTAGACTCTAATGCTTTGTATTTTGAGGGGATTTGTGTTGTAATCTTGTCTTGACATTTATTTTATATATGAATCTTGTTTATTTAATGATTTGTGTGGTTTAATACTTCCAATTGATCATTTCATTCTATCCATATGTCTATGTATGCTAGAATAGATGTTCATGTGTTTATCTCTAGTTTTTGTGTTATTGATGTATGTCTATGTGTGTTGATGCTATTGATCTAGAGATTGTCAAGGCATAGTGTTTAATAGAATACTATTGTTGTTTATTTGATGGTTCATACTCATGTCTTAATGGATTGTGTCTCTCCCTTAGTTTCTTTAGTTTAATTTTCATGCCCTTAACTTAGTTGTAATGTAGTTGCCTTAATGGTTAGATGAGAGGACAATCCATGCTTGTTGTTTGATGTTCCATGCTTATGAATACAAGTAGTATTATTCTCTAACCATGTGATGTGTTTGGATTGTGAGCTTAAAGGAAGGATTAATGGCTTAGTTTGATATATTGTGCTACTCACTAGGTTGCTTAGACAATATATACTTAATTGGTCATCCATGCTTGTTGAAACAATCAATCACACACTCTCAAATTGCAACACATGTTTCCCCTCATTAATTATACATTGAATGTCTAGAATGGTGATGTTTAGTGGTGACTTCTAGACCCCAAGACCTCACTCTCTTGTTTTCTCTAAATTTCATTTAAATTGCTTATTTTACATTGAACTTGTTTAGTTTAGTTTGTAGTCTAATCAACCAAACACACCATCTCTTGATCACTCGACCTACTAACCCTATACATTGTTTCCATTGCTAGTGTCTAAAATCCCTTGGGACGATCCCTACTCACGCTAACTATATTTTTAGTTAGAGGTAGTAGTGGTATTTATAAATTTAAAACTTGGCCACACTATTTTGCACATCTTTAAACGTTGGTGCGACGACCACACCAATAACTTAATTTAAATTTATTAGCATCATTGCTTCCAATTTATAAGCAACTTTTTCAATAACTTCTGCTAAGCAATTATGTAACTTTGGTTTACAGATTGCAAATTAAGAGTTTAAAGTATAAGAATCTAAAATATCAAAAAAAAATTCAAAACAAGACTCATATAATAGTATAGTTTGCAACTTTTGCCATTCAAAGAATGTGTTGAACGAGGCTAGCTCTCTGAAGCTCACTCTATGAGCTAAGGCCCTGTTTGGGAAGTGTTGTGTTTTGTTTTGTAGTATTCCCGGCCCGCTACAGTAGCCCATTTTTAGTCCAAAACATGTTTGGCCCGCCTTATTTTGTTTTCAACAGTACCATAACACTCCAGGATTTCAGGCCCAAAGTTGAAACACCATTTTGGTGCTCTCATTTGTTTCGACTTTTTTTGGGCTACACAAGTCACTGTAGCGGAAGGAACACATTGGCCTAACCCAGCACAGGTATAAAATGAAAGTTGCAACAAATGGTAGGGTTTGTTCTGTGCTCTTGTGTGGCGATTCCGGAGGCGATTCCACTGTTTGTGCTTCAAATCGACGACGCTTTCCTACACAGTGCACAACGTTGGGCTTCAAATCGACAAAAACCAAACTGGGCTTGAAATTGATGAAGCTTTCCTACACAGTCGTCTTTTTGTCACTGCTATGGGCTTGAAATCGACCACAACGAAATAGATCTAAAGCTTTCCTTGAGAGTCGTCTTCTTCTCACTTGTGAGCTCCTCTGCTTCTTCTTCTTAACATAGTTATCCTTGTCCTCTGTCTAAAATTTTGACACTATTTGAAGATCGGGTTTCAAATCGACCACTGTGTATGAAGATCTGAAGAGAAACTCCCTCTGTCTCACCTCTGCGTTTTCCGGCAAACCCAAGCTTCGCCATTACCTTCTGTCACTCCGACGAGTTCTTTGCGAAGGGGCAGAGCTCTCTCTTCACCGCGTCTCTCTCCACTCTCGGATTCTCTTCTCTCTGTCCAGAATCTCCCCAAGCTCTCTCTCTATTTCCTCATCTCTCTCATCTCGGTATGTTGAGTTTTGTTAGAATTTTGTTTAAAATTTTTTATTTTATTTGAAAGATGATACAAACTCAGTTTTTTATAGAAAGATCTGTGTTCTTCGGCTATGAATGTGCTCGTGCTATTCTCTATTATTACCACCAGTCTCTTTGTTTTGTATTCTTGGCTGTAAAATCTTAACTGATGTTGAAAAAAAATTTGTTGGGTATGAAAAAAAAAAAAACAAAATTCTTCACACACTACCCTTTGTATGCTTAAATGTACTCAAAGTTTCAGCCACCTAAATCAAGAACTTGGCTGTAAAATCTTTAATCTTTACTTATCAAAATTTAGAACCCAGTAATAACTATTCGCTCTTTATATGTGTAGCCCAATATCCATATCTAACTTTTATACCATTAATTAATGAAAACAATACATTAATTCCGATTATACAAAGTCAAGTTAATAAAATCCATTTATGTAGAGTACACCCTATAATTATTCATTTTTTCAATCTCATCCACTTTTTTACAATTAATTTTCACTGTCTTTAATCACACGAGTTTTTATTTTATTTTATAACAAGGTTGAGACATAAGTGGTTGTTAAAAAAATAATAATAAAATACATGAGTATGTTGCTGCATGTTTGGTAATTTTTTATACTTATACTCTTTTTTCCGAGTAAATTTGTAGTTATGGACTTATGGGTCTTCTCTATAATCCATACGAAGAATGGTGCGTGATATAAAAGCTAATCCTTATCTTCATGTGACTTGTATGCTTCGCACATTAATCATTCTTCGTATATATCACGCATCATTCTTAGTATTTAATTTTGTAATCTAAAGAATCAAGATGAATATATTGAATTTTGTAATGTACAGAATCAAAGATGATTCATCTGCGACTATATATACCCATCCACTTTTCTTGTACATGCAGCTAAGATCAAATCTAGAGTCGATTATCTTTGAATATAATTTTTTTCATAGCTGCTGGAGTAACCTAGAGTCAAGAACATGTGGTGTTTGTATGTCAGTGTGTGTATTCATCTCTGTTTGCATTGTGGAACTTTTATCTATTTTTGATTCCACAACTGTTAATGAATTAGCAGTGTAAGGAGATAGTAAGGTAATTACAGAGAAACAATTAATTAATTAGAGCCAGTTCTGGCCATGCTTAGGATGACAAATCATTGAATCATATTGAACAGCATTGTGTGGAACTACCATAAATAATCTGGTGCCATAAAAAATGATATTAAGCTTTGGCCTCAGGTTTTATTACACCAACAAGATTTACAGCTTCAATTGATACAAACAAAATCTCAGTGCAAAACCAAATCTAATAGGGAAAAAAAATAAAAATAAAAAAACCCAATCCATCCATAGATTGTAAACAGAGATGTGCATCCTTGGAAGGACATGAAATTGAAACTCACAAAAAGAATAATTTGGTAATTTGTTAAGATTTAAGAATGATACCTAAGCAACAAGAAGTTGCAAATAAAACATAGTAAAAACTCACACATACACAGACACTTGAGTTTGAGAAAACAATAGATAAAGGGGAAAAATCACAAAAGGAGAGAAACAGAAAACCATAAGTTCATACCAAAGAACAGATCACCACCAAAAAAAATAATAAAAATAAAAAATACTCATTGTAAGCAAAATAATAAGACTTAAATAAATAAACATATATACATATAATAACTATGGGATAAAACCATAGTGACTATTAAAATCACAAACCCATTATTTAAATGAAAATTTCATGTCAAAAATAATTTTATCTAAATTATATCATAAGGACATGCAATAGAGAATCATCCTAAGATCAATTCCATTCACTTCAGAAATTTTTATATGATCACAACATCAAAAAATTAAGCTTATCAGAATGTTTATTTACTTCTTCAGCCTCATTATTGTAGAATCTCTCCATAGAATACCTCAAATAACAACCACCAATGTTGATAGTAGACCTCTGTATAAATAATTGAATCTTTATCTTTTTAAATTTGTGGGAATTAATGTTGATGCTGTGTTCATTTATTTCTTCGGCCACTTTCTTGTATTTGAATTCTTTGCAATGTTGATGTTGTGTTCATTTGTTTAAATTTTTAATGTTGATACTGTGTTCATTTGTTAAAATTCGAAGCATACTGAGTTTTGTTAAAATGGAATTTGCTTATTCTTCGATCTCAGATTTAATTCGTTGGTTAGTTTTGAATTGTTCTTAAGTACGATATAGCTTATACTGATTTTTGTTAGTTTGATTTGTCTAGTTGATGATTCATGGAATTAATTGCTTAAATTGAGTGATTTTGTTGCCACCAAACTTTCTTAATTTAGAGAAATCTTTGGGTTTGCTGTGTATAAGCTCATTGGTCTTAGCTAGCTAAAATAAAAATTAGGGCTTTGTTAATGACCCTTTTAACCCATTCTTATTAAAACTATGTAATTAGATGGAAATCAATGGTGACAATATGGTGGGAGAAGAAATAGAGGACCTTACAGATAATACTGATGATGCAAAACTAGTATGGAATGTTGCTGTCGTGGCACCAACGTCTAAAAATGTGCTAAAAATGTGAGTGTGCAATGTGGCCAAGTTTTAAATTTATAAAAGGCACTACTACCTCTAAATAAGAATATAGCTAGGATGAGTAGGGATCGTCCCAAGGGATTGTGGACGTGTTTACAATGGAAACAATATATAGGGTTAATAGGTCAAGTGATCAAAAGATGATTTGTTTGGTTAATTAAATTACAATGCAATTGAAATTAAAGCAAGTAAAAGGTAACAATTTAGAAAGTAGGGAAAAAGATATAGAGGAGAGGACTTGGGGGTACTAGAGCTCACCATTAAGCTTGACTTCACCAGACACTAACAATTATATATCAATGGGGAAATTGAATTGTAACTTGTGTGTGTGTGTGTGACATTAATTGAAACTAGGCATGGATGGCAAATAAGTATAGATTGTCTAACAAATTCAAATGGAAAGTACAAACTATCAAATGAAACCAAAGTCCATTCAATGAAACCACAATTTATGCACACACAACTATCTAGAAGCATACACTATTTGCATTTATAAGTATGGAACACCAAGGAACAAGAATAGATTGTCCACGTATCTATGAATCTAAAGCAACTACACTACATCTACACTAAAGACATGAAAATTAAACTAAGTAAGCTAAAGGTGTGACACAATCCATCAAGAAACAAGTGTAAACCATCAAATAAATTACAAGAGTGTTTAATTAAGCACTATGTTTTGACCATCTCTAGATTAACTTCATCCATACACATAGACATGCATAAACTCCACTAAATCTAGAGAAAAACACATGAATCATCCATTCTAGCATACATAGACATATGGTTAGAAATAGATAATCAATTGAAAGCATTAATCCATACACATCAAGTAGAAACCACAAGATATATATATAAATCCAAGATCAAAACATTTATTACAAGCAAATCCCTAAAAATATACAAAGCATTAAGTCTAGGAAGCAAACTTAGGGGCTACTCTAGCCCCAAGTAGATGTCTAGCCACTCATTGAAGTAGTCATCCACCCCTCAAGGGATATCTCCATAGTAGGAATGACCTCCTTCTTGATGAAAACCCTAGAAGAATGTAAGAACTCCCAAAGATGTGTAAATCTCTCTAGTCTCTAGCCTCCTTTCCAAGATATGAGAGGTGTAAGTTATGATGAATCTTCAATAATGCTCTTAAAATGGCTCCAAATCCTTATATAGGAGGCTCAAGTGTCACACCCAATGGTCTGGATTCGTACACTAGGGCCCTTGCAATGATTGCACCATGAGCCAACTTTTAATGAACTGGAGTTTGTTTTATATCAGATTTGAGGAGGTTCAATCGATCGAACTATGTTGAGATCGACCGAACATTGATAAGATCCATCGAATGCTACAAAAATCGATCATCCTTAACGGCGCCTTTTTGAATAAAAACAAATCTTTGAGATATTTTGGGAAAAAGACAAAAGTGGTAGGTAGGGTGATAGGTGTGGATAAGATCGAATAATTTCGATCGATCTGAGAAAGGTTGGATCGATCGAAGATGGTGAGATCTTCTGGATATGGACAATTGCTTTGATCTATCTTGATAAGGCAAGATCGATCTTTCTCTGATCAATCGAAGGAATGTTGAGATTGATCGAACTTGCTATTTTCCACACTTTGCTTCCACTTTGCTCCTTTCTTCCATTCAGTTTGAGATTGCTTCTTTTAAGCTCTTATTTGGCTGAATTAACTTATTTTTAGGATAAGTGCCTGAAAAAGGCAATAACACGAAAATAGTTTAAAACGAAAAAATAAGATAGATAAAGGTCCTAGAATACCTAAACTTAAGGGGTTTAAATACGCACTTTTTAGCACTCATCATGGAATGATTCTTAGCTCGAAGGTTTCATCATCTGTATGGAGGAAGAAGTGAAGGTTGGTAATCGGACTAGCAGAACTTTTATTCCAACAAGTTGGAAGAATATAGTAAAAGGCATGAGGGTCCATACAGGGAAGAATATGCACCGAAACAACTTAAGAGCAAATTCAACCACGTGAGGGTAGAGTACAAAGCCTTTGTGAGTTTGTTAGCAAAAACAGGCGTGGGATACAATGCTGAGACGGTCATGGTTATAGTTGAAAACGAAAGATGACCTAAATTGATGAAGGTTAGTTATTCAAATAAATGTATGTTGATTTTACAAATGTATACTTAACTTAATATTAATAGTACTTTAATAATTTGTAGGTGAATAACCATTATGGTAAGTTTCGAAAGAAAGGATGCAAGCATTTTGACAAGCTCACCACCATATTTAAAGGCACACACGCTACAGGTGCACATGTCCATACTTCAACTAATCCACCCATTATCAACCAAGCCCCCGCACACTATGCAGCCATACATAGCTCATTTGAAATTAATGATTTAGCTGAGTCAGTCAGTCATGAGATCAGTTCCTCTCCTGAACCTCGTGGTAAGAAACCAAAAAAAGAGAGTTTTGCCTCCACAATGAGCAATGTCATGTTGCAAATGAAAGACAATGCTAAAGAAAAATGTGATTGAATTGAAAAGGCCATAAAAGAAGATTCATCATCTGATATGAAAACAGTCCATGAATAAATGTCAGGTTGAAGTAAATTCTCCAGGCAAGACAAAAGGTGATTTTAAGTTTTGTTGTAGTATTTTGAATCAGTTGAAAGGCGTTGATATGAAACAATATGCTAAGGTCACCTAGATATTACGTAATGATGAAGTTTGGAGAGATTTCTTTTTTAATGACCTTCTTGATGATAAGAGGGTTGGTTAGATCATGAATCTTTGATTTGGTGTGTTGTTTTTATTATGACTTTGGATAACTGTACTATTAAGTATACTTTATTTAGTGTGTTGCTTTAATTTCTTATTTGGTTTGTTATGACTTTGGATGATTGTAATATTAAGTACACTAGTATTTATGTTATTGGGATGATTGTGATGACAATATCAGTATTTGGTTTGGGATGATTTTATTTGTTGTCTTGCTTTTATTTCTTATTTGGTATTTGGCTTAGGATGATTGTAATTGATGTCGTTTCTTACATTTTATATTATACAGATGGATATTAGGACAATAATTGAGTTATATGTTGATGATAATGACGAGAATGAATGTGTTATCATAATGGCATGCATGTTGGATTAACAACCTTATAGGGATTCACTTTTAAGTGGGGAAACATATATAATGGAGATCTTGAACAGGCATGGAAATAGATGTTTTGAAAACTTTACGATGTCCACCCCTATTTTTTTAAAGTTGTGTGGGGAGCTTGGGTCATTAGGGTTGAAAGACTCTAAAGGTGTAAATGTTTATGAACAAGTTGGCATATTCTTGCTTACTTTAGCTCACAATGAAAGGAATCGTGTGGTAGCAAAAATATTTCAACACTCTACCTATACAATTTCAAAACATTTCCATTCGGTTTTACAAAAAGTGTGTGATTTAGGGAAAAATATTATTATCCCCCCAGATTTAACCAAAGTTCCTAACCATATAAAGAAGTAAAAAAAGTACTACCCTTTTTTTAGGAATTGCGTAAGGAAAATTGATGGAACTCATATCCATGTGAATGTGCCTGCGGACCAGCAAATACCATTTCGTGGTAGAAAGGGGGATACCATACAAAAAGTAATGGCTGTTTGTGATTTTGATATGATGTTCACGTACGTTGTAGCAGGATAGGAGGGGTCTGCTAATGATTCTAAGATATTGAACGAGACCATTAATAATGAGGATATGCATTTCCCACACCCTCCAGAGGGCAAATGTCAGGCAGATGTCATACTTCCTACAATTTTGCAATAGTTATTTTAAATATAATGGTACAATTGTTTATAGTTTGTAAAATGACAGAAAAATATTATTTAGTGGACTCCGGGTATGCAAATCAACCGGGCTTCTTGGCTCCCTACGGTATCACTTCCAAGAGTACTATAGAGCTTCTCAGCTACCTCGAGGTAAAGAGGAAACATACAATCACAGGCACTCATCTTTGCAAAATATCATTGAGCGTTATTTTGGGATGCTTAAGATGAGATTCTCCATCTTTAAGCAAATGCCCCCATATAAGTTTGAAGCTCAGGTTGCAACTGTGTAGGCGCTGATAGATGAATTATTTGAAGATGATAATGATGATGTTCAGGTTAATGTGTTGCAGTCTCGCTCGCGACCAATGGATATTTACCGTGATCATATTGCTAATAATATATGGAATATAATTCAGCACCCTTAAAATTGCATTTAGATGTTTATCATGTTTGGATAATTGTAATAACTACTTTATTTTAACTATTTGTTAGTATTTGGATAATTGTAATAACTACCTTTTTTTTTTTTTTAACTATTTGTTAGGATTTGGAAAACTATAATAACTACTCTATATTAACTCTCTTTTACGATTTCAATAAATGTAATTACTTGTGGTAACTATATTTTAACCTTTTTATTTTAAATTATTTATTTATTTATTTTATGATTTGGATAACTGTAATAACTTGTATATACAGTCATGTATGAGATACAGGGTGTCGGGCCATCTTGTGCATGTGGAAGGGGTCGAATGAATCTTTATACGGCTGGAACTTCAAAGAATTATGGACGTTCATTCTATATATGTCCAACTTGGGGGGGGGGGGGGGGGGTATACAATTTCCTTTGCATTAATAATTACATCTTATTGTCACAGGGGCATTATAATAATATACAAGTCTTTGATGTTTTAGTCACATACTTGTGCATTTATATGGTTGGATGACATGCACCAATGTCTACAAGTAGGTGGTCATGTGGAGCAAGAGTTGGAGGATGTAGTTGCTGTTATGCAAGCTCAACAAAATAGGCAAAACTACATTACAGATGGTGGCTGTTGTTGTCTTACTATAACTATATTATTTATGTTATTGCTCATGTTGTTGTTGTTGGTTATTGTAGCTGTTGATAAATGATGTAATATATTAGTTCAATTTTACTTCATGAACTTTTATTGTGCCTGTTGACAAATGATGTAATATTTATGAAACTCATGTCTGTAATATCTTCAAACTCATGTAATGTGCAATATGTTGAAAGTTTATTTTAGTTCGATATTGAAACAATGTCTTCTACAATTGTCAAAACAATATGTAGCATTCATAAGTTTTATAATTTAGAATATATTTTATTGGTTTTTATAGATTAATTAATAAACTGACATAAACAAAAAAATATATCTATATTTATATACTAAAATTATACAATAATTAAATTTTACTTTATATTTAATTAAGTTATAAATAATGTATTGATGAAACATAATTTAATAAACACTCTTTACCAAACATATTTCATGTTTTTGTTTTAGTGATTTTGATTACACTTTCACTTTGACAAACATGTTTTGTTCATATATTTTTTGAAACGAAATACCTTACCAAACATGTTCTACCATGTTTTTGGTCCAAAATTCTCACTGCAAATTTTCATCGCCAAACATGTTTTGTTTTTATCTTAGAACAAAATATGACAAAACACTTGTTCTGTTTTAGACTAAAACAAAGCACTACAAAACACAACGTATACCAAACAGGCCCTAATGGATACAAATGACTCCTAGCTACTCTTTATGTATAGACATTCCCATCCTGTGAAGATCAATTCTCTAAAATCATCTACCACCTTCTACTACACTCAATACACTTCTATAACAATATACATACTTTATACATGTTTAATTAGAATCCTCCCACCTTTTAGTACACTTCTATAACCATATACATACTTTACACATATTTAATTAGAACCCTTCATAAAATTCTATCTGCTCCAAAAGACACTAGAATTTCCTCTTGCCATGAAGACATCATGTTAATAGTTACAAATAACTCCTAGCCACTCTTTATTTATAGATGTTCCCATCATGTGAAGATGAATTCTCCGAAATCATCTCCCACTTTCTACTACACTCAATACACTTCTGTAACAATATACATACTGTAAACATGTTTAATTAGAATTCTCCCACCTTCTACTACACTCTATACACTTCTATAACAATATACATACTTTACACTTGTTTAATTAGAATCCTCCACAAAATTCTACCTGCTCCGAAAGACTCTAGAATCTCCTCTTGACATAAAGGCATTATGCAACATTCTACTTCGCGCATAAGTGTCGCCTGCATGGCGTAGCTCCATTGGTGGGGATTGACATATAGATCAAGAATTCAAAATAAGTAAAGAGGAATGGTAAGGCTGCTCTAATGCGAGTAAAAAAGTGTTCATAGAAAACATGTTCTATTATAGTAAAGTAATACTTTACCTAGAAAAATAATTAAAAAAATGCAAGTAAAATAAATTTGAAAAAAAAAAGTAAAAAATCAACGTAACTATTTCACATATCTCCCTCGGTATATATAACAAGGAAAATGATTCTTGCACCGAATAGTTATAGTGAATTACTAGACTTACTCTTTTAATTGGTTAATTATATAACAAATAAGAAAATAGAGTCCTCCACTTAGTTGTATTTGAAATAAATAACTAATTAAAAATTATTCAGTTAGATAATTCACTGCAAATATTTGGTACGAGTATGACGATAATAAATACATAGTTACATGTATGTTGGGTTTTTTGTTTTTCTTTTTACCAAGCTGAATTACGTATTTGTGCATTTTAGTGAGATAGATATACTGGGCTTTCAAATTGGGCTGGGATAAATGGGTAATTGGGTCCAGGCCTGTGTTGGTCTAAGTGTAGTCACAGTCGCACACATCTGACCAAAATTTAAGCCTTGTGGTTAGCGAGTGTGTGTACTGCTCGGTATTTACTGTCTGTACACAGAGAGATGAAAAGAGTTCCTACCACCGGCTCCAAAGTTCCAGTTTCACGCAGAAGTCGTCGATCAAAGAAACGACGACGACGGAGCCTCTCAAAACGGCGTGGTACTCTGCAATTCACCCTCTCCCTATATGTATAGATGTATAAGTATATATTTATATATATAAATATAATGTTGTCTCTGTCTAGGGGCGAGTGTGAGTGCACTGGTTGAGAAGTACTGGCTTCAACGTAACGATTTGTTCTCGAGGTACGATGAGGGAATCAAAATGGACGAAGAGGGATGGTTTTCCGTTACGCCTGAAGAGATTGCCGTCGGGCACGCCCACCGGAGTGGGGGCGGCGTCGTCATAGATTGCTTCGCCGGCGTCGGTGGCAACGCCATTCAATTCGCTAAAATGTAAGTAGTAAGTTCTATGTTTCGGTCCATTCGGTATTGTTTGCAAAAATGCATTTTTAATTCAAAAGAATTCTATGCCGAATCAAATTGGGTGAGTTTCAGGAAATGAGCTTTATTTATTTGTTTATTTGTTTATTTTAGAGAGAAATTGAGTGCTATAATGTATGTTTATGATCATTTAGGATCAATGGATCATTGGATTTGTAAGGAAATGATATGAGAGTGACCTATTGGTGAGTAGTTATGTACTAATTATATGCTCACAATGTGTTTCGTAGCACCAAATTGAAGGCATTTGAACAAAGATGGAGAAAAATTTGTTTGAAATATGAATTACTATTCTAATTCTAACTCCAAGGTACCAAAAAATAGTCAGATTAGTTGTGTTTTTATAGTTGATTCTTTTGTTCATTTTGAACTTTTCTTTTATGTGATTTCGCATGTCTCTGCATGTTTAACAAAACTAGAATCATTAGCATCATGTATTATGTAACCTTATTTGGGCCATATTTACCATGGGATGAGCCATAGGACGACATCTTGTTATTGCAAAAGAAGAAAATAATAATGCATAATTCTGATTCAATTATTCAACGTGAGATAAACACTCCATGAACCCCTAAATTTATTAGCTTAATTGTAAATTCTTATATTTCTCACAATATGCGTCAGACATAGTGCTTTACATAAAAGGAGATTTCCATGAATGTGATGTAATGTGATATAATACAAAAGAGATGTGTGTGCGTGTGTAGTATATAGGGTCCATTGCTTGTTGAAAGATTAGCAATTCGGATTAGCAAACATGGTAATGCATTTTCAAGTATAGGAGTTGTCATTTTGTCCAAAATAATGTGAAGTTAGTCTGTCTTTAGTCCATTCTTGTTTCAGCACCTTAAGTAGGCGGGAAAAAATAGTTTCTAGAAGGTAAGTATACTCACAAACTCATTCCCCCCACTGTGAACCCTCAAGCTCTCCTTTGGAAAGGTGGATGACATACCGGGCTTTTGGTGGTGGCAGTAAAATTGCTTATATATATGTATGTAGGTGATCCTTTCTGACTTTCAGTCAATCTTTTCACTCTTTTTAATTTACTCATGTACATGGAGAATTGATAGTGTTGTCTCACTGATCTCCGTGTACTCTTAGGTGTTGTCATGTTGTTGCTATCGACATTGATCCTCGAAAGATTGAACTTGCAGTTAACAATGCAAAGATATATGGTGTGGAAGATTATATTGATTTCATTGTCGGAGACTTTTTCCAACTTGCACCTTCCCTGAAGGTAATGCTTTTCTTTTTGTAGATGCCATAAATTTTGGAATAGTAATTCGCTTGAGGCTGTATCTACCTCTGTAGTTTCTAATCCACATTGCCATTTAATGGGCATGCGGTCAATTTATTGGTTGGGGGCCTGGGGCCTGTTATTGTTTGGGAGTTCTACAATCATAAGGTGTGCATATATTTGAATTATTATAAAAGCTGATAATGTGTTGCCATGAGTATTAGGACCTTAATGAGTGTTATATTATGGGTTAAATTTGGGATAATTTTAATTGCCTCAGTGTTGGTTTCATTTATGATATGTAGCGGTATAATTTATTTAATTGGGATCTTCTTGACAAATAATATGAATCGATGTCTCGATGATATTGAAAGTCCTCGTTACTCAAATGTCCTGCTATCACATAAATTTCTCAAACTAAATTATGAAAAGACAATTAAAGGAGGACTAATGAAGAATAAACAACAGGAAAAAGGAAAGGAAGAAAGAAGACAAGAAATGAAGGATTAGCTGACTTTATAATATCAACGTGTTGGGAATCTAAACTGTTGTAAAAACTAGTACTAATTGCTTCCCTGTTTTATTCAATATCAATTAAAAAGTTATTTTGGGTATTTCCTACATGATGTGAAGCAAGAACATTTTTTGACAGACGATGAAGATTATGAGATTAAATGAAAAGATCTAACCTCCGGTGATGTTACCAAATTGCTCTCTGCACTCAATGATGTTAAGCATTAAGTTGTTGCTTTCCCTTGGATCTTACTCAGCATGTTAAAGTTAGATTTTTATAAAACTTGGGAATCTACCTCAAGATACGTTTTTCTCTTCATTACGCCAGGCACTTTGACCTCTAAATTCAAAGGGCTTCCTGATTTTTCTTCCAAGTATTTAGAATAAAGATGGGCAGAGGTTACATTAGAAGACAGTGACTGATTTTACAACTATTCTTTTGTTTTTATGTTTATTTTATTTTATATATTCTTTATATATATATATATATATATATTTGGAATTTAATTTTGTTTTGTTTTGGTAGGGAGATGTAGCATTTCTCTCACCACCGTGGGGGGGTCCCTCATATAAATCATTTGGCAATTATACCCTCGATTTACTGAAGCCAATAGATGGGTATGTGAAGATGCTTTTGTTTATCCATTCATTATTTGAGTTGAGAGAAAATGTGTTATTTCAGATGTTATAGCAAGCTAAATACATTGATCTACACAAACTCAAAGGAGAGATCCTTTCAGTACCTAAAACTAAATGGTATTCAAACAAGTAATAGAACTTTCTCTCTTATCCACAAGGGTGAAGATGTGGGTGTAATTCATCTTATTTTGCTGTTATGCATTTTCTAACGTTTGCAGTAATTCAAGCTTTCTAAAGAATGTTGTTGGTTCCAAATTCAAATTGAGGTTATTCTTTCTCCTCTTGATCTCAGTAAGATTCAAAAAAGTTATTTTCTTTTCTCTCATCCCAGTCTTGAAAGAAAATTAGGAATTTGGTTTTAGCCAAGTCAAGTCTGAGCTTGTCTTAAACCAACAGAGCTGAGTTTGGACAAGGTTGGTTGACCTCTAGACCAGTTTGACCTCAGCTTGACCTTGGTAGCTGGGTGGTGAGCTAGGCCCCGAAAAACTTGGCTCAGCTCATCTGCTGTCCTATTTTATGTATGATTATCATTGTGGTGTGCATTTGATGGCATCATTCGGGTACTACTTGAGTCCTTCCTCAACAACTTGCATTGTGCATTTGATGTCATGTGGTTAGCACCAATGCATTTATGTACAGTTAAAGATTTTTCTTTATTTTTCAGAAATCTAATCGCGCTATATGTGCAGGTATTCATTGTTTCAAGTTGCACAAAATATAACATCTAACATCATTATGTTCTTACCTCGAAATGTGAACATACACCAAGTGGAAGAACTTTCTTGGCTGTCTTCCCCTCCTCTAAATGTTGAGGTATTAGTTTATACATCTGCATGCGATGGCTAATATCTGAACTTGTTTAATCTCCTTTACATGTTGAAGCTGGTTTGATACGTGCAGATTGAAGAAAGTTATGTTGGGAGTAGTTTAAAGGGCACGACTGTCTATTTTGGTGAAGCTGCATTTGAGCAAAACTTAGATTATTCTAAAATTAGTCAAGCTGAAGCCTTCTGTTGATCAACTCAACGTGTCTCCATCACATACCATGTAAGAGGAAGGAAGGAGGATGTGGAGGTGAGTGACCTTAAACACCTTATAACGCTGCTACTAGAAAGAATTAGCTGAAGGGTTGGTTGTGAAACTTTAAGGTGCATTTGTTGAATATGGCTGGGTTTATTTTATTTTTGTCAGTTGGATTAACTCCTGTATATTCAATGAAACCTAGTAGATGGGAGTTATGTAAATTAATTACTGGATTGAGTTAATCCGAGCGGTTTTCAATTGTTTGGATTCCGCTAGATCAATCTTGTTTCTTGTACAGATTTGGAACATTCTCAAATAAGAATCTATTTATTGTATGTGCAGTTATAAAAAATTGTGTGAGAGAGAGAATCTTGTGGATGCAGCCTAGTGCTGGCATGGATGAATTAGGGATAAACTAGCTTTAGAATATATTACCAAAACTAACATCAGAAGAATGCATGAGCACAGGAAATGCAGTCAACAATCTTAAGAGATTGGGGACACTTTCTGGTGTTTACAAAGAGAAACAAAGAACACAAGATAAAAGCTGAAATTACTCTACTCGAGACCTAATAGACTATTTTGGACCAAACACACGATAACAGTCACATATATCATCAAGCTTGCCACCAGTATATCCTATGTATCCGGCCGCCTGGGCTGCATCTGCAAATGGACTTCCCGGCAGATGTAGATTTCCCCACCTCTCGCGCTCTCATGGCTAAGACTTCTGCTATCTTTCTGAAATTTGAAATGTGGACAAAAAAGAAAAGCAGAATGTAATGTAAATAAAAATACCACACAGCGGTGAGAAAGAAATGCAACAACTGCTTCAACATTTATTTCTCAAGATTAATTTGTTGGTCCATATGATTTGTCTTGGAACTGAAGTTGGACGAGAATATGGTATTCTAGTTGTACAAATTTATCTTTAGTAGGATTCTTACCCTAAATAGGAACTGCAGTAGCTTTACTTTGTCAAAGCAAACAAAACCATAGATGCTTTGATAGAGCTTATTTGTCATCTACTAAGTGCATTTGGCATTGTAGTAGCTTGTAGTAAGCACTTATTTATTATTATTATTATTTTTTTTTTATGTTGATTTGTAAAAAAATGGATGTCTCAGTGTGCTTATATTTTACAAAATCATATTCTAAGTTCAAAATTTCCATTTGGTCCGATATTGCTCTATTGAGTTTCATTTAAATTGATTATGTTGCAAAAAAAAATTAAAAAAAAAAAAAAATAATACTTGTATTGTTTAGGTCATGAAAATATTAAGAGGGGCTCACATTCTATTGATGACTAGTCAATATTTGCAAAAAATATACGATATATTTCATCTAATGACTACTTATACTGTTTGATGAGATCTATTGATGAGTTGTAACATTTATATTTGTGATCTTTCCTTATAATTAATTTAATATTCAATTGAAACATTGAAACATTTTTAAATTGTTGAAAACCATATCTAAGTATGTGGTTATGCCCGACTAGTTTTCTATTCATATGGTTCAAATACTGTTGAAAATTAGAAGATTGCAGAGCAAATTAACATTAACAAATCAAATTACCTACGCAAAGAGAAATCATCAAGGCAAACTTCTGCAACATGACCAAGCTATGGACTCAAATTATCAGCTGGTAAGGCCTCTGGGGGGACTTCTTTACATGATGCATGTGGTTTGCGGACAATTGCATGAATCCGAAATTTGCAAATCATTTAAGAGTACAAAGTGGGTAGCCGGTGGATTGATTCTCCATTACCCCCCCCAAAAAAATTACCAGGCTGTGTTGATGATGATAAAACGTGGTGGATAAAGAGATGATGTTTGTGGTATGGTTTGTGATGGAGAGAGAAATGATGACAACAAAGTATGAGAGACTTTTAAGCCTCGAACATAAGCACATTGGAAAGAACTCGTACAACAAATCCCAATAGAGGCAGGCATGAAAATGAAAATGAAAGAGAAGATGCTGGAAATGGTTGATGTTATTGACTTCCTTCTTCAAGGTAATCTTCTACTAAAATCAGATGTTTGGGAGGTGAATAGTATATGTAGTTTAAAGATGAGATTTGGAGTTTAAGCTTTGTCAAATACAATATGTTACATTGTCATTTAATAAATAATGCATTTATACGAGAAACCTAACCACCACAAGTTCACAACCACATGTATTCCCCCCACCCATCCCAAAGGAAAAAAGAAGAAGAAGAGAGATATCTATCCTATCCGATTTAGACAAGGCATGATGCTCATTTCTGAGCCTATCACAGGCACACCTTCGGTTTCAGTGTTTTGTGCGATATTCTTCCTGAAACGTTCTATTGTTTGAACTCGCATGATGCTTATTGTTGTAAAATTGTATATTTCTGTACATGGTAGTGGAGCACTCTGTAGTCTATGCTTTGTTTCATGTTCATTTGTTAATTTGGCATTCTGTACTTTCAGAATTTTTTGAGGTCAAACGTAACAATCCTTTTGTATTAAAATGGATGTTTCATTTCGGTAACTATAAAATAATAATGCAGTATTCCAGATCAATTTCTTTGTAATATGGTTATGGGACAGTGGTCAAAGAAGGGAAGGAGTCATGGTGGTGGCAGTCCGGGCTCTGGATTTATTAAGGGGCCGTGGTGAGAAGGTATCTGCAGAAGATCTTGATGCTGATTTGCAGAAATATCATACAAAAGCAATGCATACTAGTCTCTCATACTGTATTTGACAATGTAACATATTGTATTTGACTAGTCTCTCATACAAAAGCATAAGCACATTGGAAGGCATAACCAAAATTTATAGCTCATCTCTTTGCACCTGCTATTGTCACTGTGTACTTGATGATGCAACATCCCTTTACTATTTTGTGTATTTCTATGGACATCCAACTCTTTTAGTAAAAGCGGAGAAAGTACTTGTGGAGAACTGTCCAAGAAACTTTACTACTGATGGCATTGTCCGTAAGGTGGTGTAGAATTAAGCTAAAGATGAATCTCTACCATTTGGAATACTGGGATTTGTTTCAGCTCATTAACATCGAAGAGACATCAACTTGAGGTAATTTCTTTATGGTTTACTTCAGTGGACTTTCTTGACTGTTAAAGTTGCATCTCTTGTTATATGGCACAATTGTGTGGTTAATTAGGTGTTTAGTTGTTTTGGGTTACAGTATTTATTCTTCTCTGGTAGTACCCTTTCCAGGGATTTACTATCTCCGTCCCACAAAAGATGTTACGTTTGGGGAAACGTGAGTATTGCATGTATTATGTCAAGTTTCATATTATATAAGCACTAGTAAGTACTACCTCCGTTCCACAAAAGATGTCGCGCAACGCGACATCTTTTGTGGAACGGAGGTAGTACTTACTAGTGCTTATATAATATGAAACTTGACATAATACATGCAATAATGAGATCATATGAATCTTTTTGCTTGATTTGACTTGTTGACATTTTGGGGATGAACAGGTCAATAGAATTCCAATGGTATGGTTAAAAGCTGGGGAAGAAGGAAGAAGCACATCTAGAAGCGATGCACACAGTCTGGAGCGCAAGAGTTCTATAGCTTCGCGGGAAAAAAGGAATAAACTGGAACTTGAAGGAGGGGCCTACTCACTTCGGACCAGAACCATGTAACAATTTCTTATAGGTCAACGGATCTAATAAAGGTTGCCTTTCTTTGTGTTGAAAAGTGATGATGTATACCCTTAATTTCATATTAATGTTATTGTTATATATTCAAAGGCACTAAGGTAGAATCAACAATTTTCAACTTAAATGTCAATGTTACATGTCTATTTGCTTCGGACCAGAACCATGTAATAATTTCTCATAAGTTAAAGGATCTAATAAAGATTGCCTTTCTCTGTGATTAAAAGCGATGATGTATACCATTATATATTCAAAGGCACTAAGATAGAAACAACAGTTTTCAACTTAAACGCCCATATTACAATGTCTATATAATCTCATACAACACATATTCATCTCATACAAACACATCAGGTGATTATACTAAAGACAGTAGTTTTTAGGGTTTAAAATTGAGGGGCCAAACAACACCTCCAAGTACTCTTTTTTTACATATCTGAAAGAAATTTGACAGGAAGCACAAGCAAATCCCTGTAGAGGAGGATTTGTTAACCTTTTAATATGCATTCACTAACCAAAACCAAACTCAAATTGGAATGTTGAAACATGAATCATCTTTCTAATTAAATTAATAATTCTCCATTGACCGACAAATTTTGAATTCAAAAATCACTTGCAATCATGAGTTCTTAAAATTTATATTGCACCAATGCCAGCCTTAAAAAAAAAAAAAAAAAACATTTCTTGTATTTCTGCACAGGGTTAAACTAGTATATTCATAACTGTACACCATAAACATTCATAACTGTACATCATAACTATTCACTTGCAATCATACTTTCAAAGATATGATGTTATTGGATATGCAGTTATCTTAAATTTTAAATTTAATTTCTTTAGTGTCTAAGTTTTTATTAGTGTTGTATCTTAGCTATCAGCTGTAGGGACTACTCATCCATTAATATCCAATTTAAAAAAAAACAACTCTTACCTTGACACACAGGTACTCCTCAAAATGTGAGGCTTTCACAAAACAAGACACCAAAATTTGCAATACAATACAGGCCAAAGAGAAATTATCAACATCATTAAAATAATCGTTTTCTATTATAACTAATTAAACATACCAAATTCGGCAATTTCTAAACGCTCTATCGAGATGTAAGCAAGAAATTGATTAGCTGAAATGATGGCACGTGAATGTTTTACCAATCTATAAATGTAAGAATATAGTATGTACTTCTAATGATAAAAGAAAATGTGTATTTTTTATGTCACGTCTGATATTTTCTTGGATCAACGAGAACAATCGAACCACCCAGCCCTTTTAGATGTTAAGCTAGCAATTAATCACCATGCTACAAGCCTACAACAGCTTTGTTTGGAACAATGAAATATTTCAGCTAATGAATAGGCAGCTTATGTTATTCAGCGAGGATTGAAAATTTTGGGTTATGAAGAGGGGCAACTCACAAGCATATTTTTTACTAATTCAACCATGCATCAATGTATCAACAAGGATATTTCAATTCAACCTAACAGAGCACCGCATATTGAGTTCTAAGAACTTCCATCAAACATCAGTAAAAAAAGAAAAAAAATGATTGTGAAACAGGACAATGTGAAACGCTTGCTAATTTTTAATTACTTCATCCCTTGTAAATTTTGATAGCCTTTTTGTCGGTTAAACACCTCTTCATATTCTAACCGGTGCTTCTTCGGATCTAAATTGTATATG